GACCCGAAACTCATTTTTTATCCCGGTCGGCATGGTTTAACTCGTATTGACCTGGTGAACCCAGTTTTGATCGAAAGATGCGGTTGACTCGAGAAAATATATTTTAAACTTTTTTTTATTTATATTTTTTTTGTTATGAATAATAAAATAAAATAACATTCGAGAAAATCTTAGTGAATCCAAAATTGAGTTATAACAGGTTTAGTGAGTTAACCTATTTTATTTCAATTTCGATTTCAATTTCATCTTTCAACATTTAATTTGTTGAGGATTAACCTTCATGATTTTATTTGGATTTACTTTCTATGAAGTTATCAGAGCCTCATGACCCAAGTCACAGGTTTGATGTGTTAATCAGGTTAATTCAGGTTATTTTCTTTTTTAATTGATTTTTTAATTTTATCCTTCAATATTTTATTTATTAGGATTTAGTTTTTCTATTTTTTTTATTTTCTTTCTATGAGGTTATCTTGGTCTCATGACTCAAGTCACGGGTTAGATTAGTTAATCCATGTTAAATTGTGTCATTTTTTAAATTGATTTATTTTTTAAATTTCAATGTTAGATTGATTGAAAATTAGATCTCGTAATTTTTTTTATTTTTTTCTATAAAGTTATCCTACTTTCATAACTTGAGTTTTTAATTTGGCAAGTAAACCCGAGTTAACTTGGAACTTTTTTTAGATCTTTTTTTAATTGGATATTTTTTTAATTTCATTCTTAAACATTGAGTTAATTGAGGATTTGACTTTATAGTTTTTTTTGATTTATTTTTTATAGGGTTATCATGGTTTCATTATTAGGGTAGTTGATTTGACAAGTTAGACATGTGTCGATCCAATATATTATTATTTCAATATATTTTTTAAAAATAATATTGTCTTGATTTTTTATAGTGAAATTATGTTTTTATTAATCATTCAAGTTATCTTTGAACCCATCAATTCCATCAAGTCAGCTTCTATATTTAATTTTTTTATGTTAAAGAAAAAAAAAATATTTAGCAACCTCTAAACATTTATATTTTTAGTTTCAGAATAAATTATCCGACTAATAATAAAGCACGAGCAAATGATCTTTTCTCCAACAAACAAGAAATCTTTATGTCCATCTTTTATTACTTTTTTGTTCTAATATGTTGCATCTTTTATTCGATACGAAGGATAAAATTAAGAAGGATAAGGACTCTCAAATACTCGTATTTATAAAATTAAGAAGGATAAGGACTCTCAAATACTCGCATTTATAATTTTCAATCCTCTTAACTTGATGAATTACCTTTCATCTTTCCTTTTCTTTGTAGTTCTCAAGATGCATTAACCGACTCTCATATTTTCCTTCTCTTATTATTCACATAACTAAGGGAAGAGTTATCTTTTTAGACATGCACCCATTTATCCTGTACAAGCACACTAATTAACTAATCCATTGGTTGTTTCGGTCTGGATTATTAGTTTAGTTCATGTGGTTGGGTTGAGTCTAGTTTTATAGAAAAAAATTGGTTTTTGTTTGGGGCCGATCCCAACCCAGTTTCATTTTAAGCCCAAACCCAATTATATTATAAATTATATTTTTTTTTAAATCCCATAAATCCTTTCAAAAAATTTATGATTTTTGACGTGTATTTTTTATACCATTTTAATTAATATTGATTTGTATTTTTATAAAATAAGAATACAAATTTAATATTAAAATATTCAAGTTATCTCTAAAATGGTGTGTGTGTGTGTGTATTGTTTTCATGCTTACTGTCAAGTCCAAAAAAAAAAATCATATTGTATTTTCATACAATAAAAATTTAAAAATATATGATAGCGTGCATTTTGGCTTCAACAACTAGTTTGTTAAAGTCACGAGAACTAGGTTAATATTTAAAAAAAAATTATTTTATTTTTTTTAGTATCTAGGGTTACAACTTTATACGTAAGACATATTATGAATATTAAATTCTTTTGCTAACATTAAAATGGTTAGGTTTTACCTGATAAAATAAGAATTTCCTTATCAAAAAGGACTTTTCTTAAACCATAAATGGATCAACAATTAAAAATACAATAATACCTTAGCATATATCAGACAGTTAAATAATGCAACTTACTTTAGATAGGACGTATTTGGAGTGCTAATACATTTTCTTTACGCAATCAATACTCGTACCCAATCTCTAAAACTAATTAGGATTTCTAGTGATCAAAATATTAAATAATGACTCTCATTTCCTCATTCCATTGATAAAAAAAAATAAGAATTCCTTGTATTCTCTATTTTTTTAATTCCCAAATACCTAAAAGGGTGAAAAATTACTGTGACACTGCATTCGTGCTATATCTAAAATGAAGAATGGAAGCTGATTTTCAAGCAAGTTCATGTCCTTGGATACATCACTGATCATCCAAGGTTTACTAAACACAAGGATGCATAAACAACTTCCAACACAAATGTAAAAAGGAAATGAAAATATCACACAAAATATTGTCAAACAATCATAAAAATATTTGGAAGGAAACGAATCTGAATTATTACAACATATGTAGCTTCTCTAAATTACAACTCACATAGTTAGATTTGCTTCAAAACATATACACATATATATTATCTTTACACAAGCTATGCTATGTGAAATTCTTTATTAGCAAAATATCAAAAAAAAAAAATGATGTGTTTACTCTCACCACCTAACAAGCAAAACATTTTGTTTTTTATTTTTTATTAATTTTAATTTTATTCTTTAATATTTATTTTGTTGAAATTAAACTTCATGATTTATTTTATTTTACTTTCTATGATCCACAAGGATAGTGCTAGGACATTAGATTTGAAGGGCTAAATTTAAAAAAAAAAACTTAAGGGGATAAAGCTAAAATTTACTAATTTTAGAGCTAAATTTTATAATTTTTTAAGGGGAGAGACAAGAGAAAAATTTTGTATAGGCCTTGGCCCTTACTAGCCACCCTCTACCTCTGCCCTTGATAACTTATGTTATGAATTTAGTGGGTTAACTTATTTTCTTTTAATTTTAGTTTCATCATTTAATATCTGGCTTATTAAGTATTGACCTTCATGATTTTATTTTGATTTATTTTCTATGAGGATATCTAAGTTTCATGACTTGAGTCATGAGTTTGAAGGGTTAATTTAGTTGATTTATTTTTTTAATTGATTTTTTATTTTTTATTTCAATATTTTATTTACTAGGAATTAGGCTTTCTATTTTTATTTTTTTTATATGAGGTTATCTTGGTTTAATGATTTAAGTTGCGATTTTGATGGGTTAACCCATGTTGAAGTGGATAATTTTTTTAACTTAATTTATTTTTAAAATTTTTTCCTTCAACATTAGATTGATTACAAATTAGATTTTATAATTTTTTTTGATTTTTTTATATAAGATTATCACGGTCTCATAACTTAGATTTTTAGTTTGGCAAGTAAATTCACATTGACTTAAAATGTTTTTTAGATTTTTTTTTCATTTCATCATTGAATATTGAGTTGATTAGGGACTTGGGTTTATAGTTTGTTTTGATTTATTTTTTACAAGGTTATCATGATCTCATAACCAAGATTATGGATTTGACAGGTTAAACATGAGTCAATCTAATATATTGTCATTTTGATATTTTTTTTAAAAAAAACAGATACTATCTTGATTTTTTATAGTCAAATTATATTTTTATTGATCATTCAAATTATTTTTAAATCCATCAAATCCATCGAATCAACCCTTAAATTTAATTTTTTTATATTAAAAAAATATCAATAACAACTCAACATTTATATTTTTACATTCAAAATAAGTTATTCGACTAGTAATGAAATGCGCTCAATTGATGTGGTATTCGGTATGCTTGAAGGAGGATTTAAGAATAGTACATATGATCTTTTCTCCAACAAACAAGAATTCTTTATATCCATTCCAATATATTGCATCTTTTATCCGATAAGAAGGATAAAATTAAGAAGGATAATGACTCTCAAATACTCTCACTTATAATTTTCAATCTTCTCTCTTAATTTGATGAATTACCTCTCATCGTTCCTTCCTTTTCCTTGTAATTCTCAGGATGCATTAATTGACTCTCATATTTTCCTTCTTTTATTATCCACATAAATACAGGGAGAGAGAGTAAGCTTCTTGGACTTGGACCCATTCATCTTGCCCAAATATATTTTTGTTAAGTCCAATTAATTTAATCAGAACCTCCTGTATAATAATGCATAGAGTCCATTGGGCCCGTGGCTTAAATTATTGGTAAGTCTGGTTCTTGCCTTCAACGAATCTTAGATGGACTTACATTGGGTCTAAATAATCTTAACTAAACTCAAGATTTTCAAGTCATGTCCAAGTATCAAGAGTGATGTGCATATACATGATGCAGATTTTGTTTGCAGTCTGGTTTCTTATAGGATTAAATTGCAATAAACCTATTCAGTGCAAAAAATTATTGTCTGTTTCAATTAAACCCCCACAGCATTCGAAGTTCCTCAATCGAGTCCCTTGTCCAGTTTGTCAATGTTTTCCTTCTAAAATCCATATTTTAAAATAAAAATAATTTATTTTTTATATGAAAAGTTTGATTTTTTTTTTTATCGTTATTAAACTCAGTTTGACAAGTAAATTTAATCATTTATCAACCTAGAACTTAGCTTAAACTATGGTTTAAAATATGATAGGTAAACCCTTAACCCAATTATTTTAGTAAAACAATTAGGTTTAATTTAAAAAAAAATTAATTTTTTATTTAAACTTTTAAAATAAAATATTTTTACATCTTTAGAAGACTAGCCCATCTAATTTGTAACCGAAAACTTGGATGAGGACAAGTTTAGTAACTTTTGTATTTCATATATATATATATATATATATATATATATAAAGGATGAATTTAAACAGAAAGCCCATTCAGTAATGTACGGTGGTGCATTGGGGATCCATTTAAAAAAAACCAATAGTTTGTAGACTACATTGAGAATACATTTATAGTTAGGGGACTCATTCGAGGTTTGCCCAAAACTTAGTAGCTGGATCTATAACCACAAAGTCACCATTCTCTCTCCCATCCTAGCTGAATCTGTTCTTCCTTTCCTACACTCTTGATCCATTATCAATGGTTTGGAATTTGTTTCAGATTCATCTAATTCCGGTGATGGGTTTTCACTTCTTTCTCGATTGAATTAATTGAAGAAATCATCCCTCTCTCTATGAATTCTCTGTATTGTTGATCAAAACGAGAGGCAATCATTCTCTTACAATACGTGTTCACAGGTGCTTTCCAAGTTCCTTGGTAAAAAAAACAAGGACCCAGTTCATTGATCTGGTCTAAGATTCCTTCTGCAATTTTTTTTCTTCACTACGTTAGTATTTTTGCTTCCTGCTCCGAATGGCCATATGGTGTTTGATAAAATGCCAACACGAACATAACCGACTGATGTTGTTTTCCTTGTTGATTAGTGCTTTAGAAGACCAAAATCTGATCAGTGAAGTGCATTGAAAATATGCAATGGGACCATCAACAGGAGGAAGAGCAAGACTCTCTGGAATGCAGAAGCAAGTGCTTAGTCTGTACCGGGGCTTCTTACGAGTAGCTCGTTCAAAGTCCCCTGAAGATCGACGGCAGATTGAATCCTTTGTTTCAGCTGAGTTCCGCCGCAACTCCAAACAAGTAGATCGCAAGAATTTCATCTACATTGAGTACTTGCTTCGCCTTGGTAAGAAGCAGCTTGAGCAGCTCAATAGTCCTGATACTGTTGGATTGTCATCTATGGATGCCACTTTCTCTGAAACTGAAAAGCCCAAAAACTAAGTTGAGATGAATTACCCTGACATCTGCGTAATATTGTGACATCTTTTTTTTCTTGTGCAATTTATTTCTTGTTCAAACAATTCTGTTCATAAAACGCCTGCAGTCATTTTTTTCAGTTGTCTTAAGCAGGTTTGCATGTCATTGTTCTATAGAGGCCATGCTTGATGTTTAAGATTGCATCCTGTTTAAACCACTGTTAGTTTCTTTTATGTATTGTTTTTTTTTTCTCTGCAACGTAGTTAGTACATAATCGAACTGCAAGCAATTTGTCAAAATAGAAGTAAAATCACGCCGAAAGGACAGGAAAGATTGAACCGAAACTAACTAATTGTATTTCCTGCTTCTTGGAAAGTCCTATCAGAAAGCATTACTTACCTGTACAGTTGCATACCCTTACTGATTTAGCTTCATTGTTGAAATAAACAGTGTAGGTTTCCTTTCTGTAGTCCAGTAATGGTCCCAGAATAAGATTTCTTTGCCCCTTTCGCTACAAAGCTCATTGGGTGATATTTGCTCATTCCTTCTCTCATTTCAAAGCTGGCTTACTAGTTGATTTGTTTTATCCAAATTGCACTTGAGCTTCAAGCTTTCACCTGTATGTTTCTTCACCCCACCATACACAAAGCAACCTTTATGTCTTTCAGCCTCCCAAGGATACAGATTTCTTGAATCCAATCCCGCAACCAAGCAGAAACAGAGTAGTCGTGTTTTGCAGCTTGAAGATTAAGGTTGCCGTCCGTTTCTTGATAAACTACAAGCATGCCAGCATTGTCAAACGGTTCTAGCATCAGTTATTTGCCAAAAGCATCCGTACTTGTTGAAGGTTTCGAGGAAGATTTGTTAGTCAGGATGTGTTTAAGAGCATGTTTGGAAAAAAAAAATATTTTTTAAAATATTTTTATTTAGGAATATATCAAAATAATATTTTAAAAAAATTCATTATTAACATCAATACTATTTAAAAATACAACAAAAAAAATAATTCAAAACTAAAAAGAATCAAAATTTTTCAAAAATACAGATAAATATTGAATGGAGAGGAGAATTGTTGCCAGACCCAGTGTTTTGAATTCATCCAGAAAGAGGTGGAGTGTCTAGATAGTTGTGAAAAGGTAACCAGATGATCATTGTGAGCAGGAGATATTGGAGTTATCCATTCTGAAAGAGAATCAGCTGCAACATTTTTGATGTCCCAGTCACTAGCAGCACGACCAGCAAGGAGACAAGGGCCATAAAGGATTGCCTGAACTGAAGCATACTCAGTCCTGTCATCTGAATTTTCATCCAAATCCAAAATTTTGATCTAAATGTTAAAATGAAAATCTTGAGAAGAGCAGATCTATGCAATAGGTTTTAACATCTTCCTTGGCCAAACTTGCGTTGCATTAAATTTATCTAAGAGCATAGCACTGATAACAACTGCCAGCTTTTGTTAATAAATATGAGCTGTACTTTATTTTCCAATCATGGAAACAATAGCTCTATCCACACATTTTAAGCTTGAAAGTTAAAATAAATGGTGTAAAATTCATCCCTCAAACTATGTAATGGTGCAAGAAGAAAATTCCTTTTGTCCCCCTTTGCCACAAAGCTGATTGGATGATATTCACTTAGTCCTTTGTTCATTACAAAGCTGGCTCCCTGATTAAATCCTGGATCTGATGACCCTAACTTGCAGCTAAGCTTCATGCTCTGGCCTGACTTGTAATTGACACCACTGTATATATAGCAACCCTCCTGGCTTCCTGATTCCAGGGATACAGTTCCATCTTTTCCATCCAGTCCCGAAACCACACGGAAGATAGATGAACCATCATCTGCGGCAGAATTTGTGACAGCAAGGCTGCTGTCTTTTCCTTGCTGCACTAAAAGCATTCCAGGAAGATCAAATGGTTCAAGCATCACTGATTTGTCAATAACATCTTTAATTCCTAAGACTTCGGAGAAAGAAGAGTCATTAAAGACGATTCTAAATGTGGCTTGAAGACAAGCGTCAGTGCCAGATTTCGGGTGCTCTTCCATTGTAATTGACTGGTTTGAATTTGTTAACACAAAAGTTGAATTTCCAAAGTCTTGGGAAAAAGATACTAGTTGTTCATTGTAAGAGGCAGGGATTGGTGTTATAGAGTCTGAAAGAGAATCAGCAGACCCGGCTTTGAGGTTCCAGTCACCACTGGTATGACCAGCAAGTAGGTAAGGACCATAGAGTATTGCCTGAATAGAAGCATACTGGTGCCGGTCATCTGAATGTTGTTCAAAGGATTTTGTCAGTTATATGACCATCATCATTATAGAAATTATAAAAATATTTTACATTTCAAGCAAGAACAGTGAATATTACCTTGTATGGCCTCTGTTCTCAGACTAATGGGAAGCTGTAGGCTTAATTTGTCACCACTGCTCCATTTTCTATTGACTGATAAGAAACTACCTGCATTAGAAGCAGATTATTAAAGACACCACCAGGGTTTCCTCCGAAGATGCCAATCAAAAGGTGGTTCCAAATGAGCTCTCCCATTAGCTCTTACGAAACAAATTAAATCAAATATAAGAAACATGTAGATTAAGAAATAAAGTCATGATTCATGAGTATGCTTCACACCTGGATCCGGTATAGCCAAACTCTGAGAGTTTATTGTTGCAGTAGCACCATCTAAATGTGTCCAAACTGGTATCCTCAAATTCAAGGTAGATGCTTGGCTTGACCCCTGCACAAAACAGATCCATTATGATCATCATTTACCTTTTCTCAGCCCTTATTAAAAATTTTGATTCTTTGAGCTCTTGCGCAAAGAACATAATAAGAAGTTTACAGGAGATTTAGCAGTGTTTTTCTCTCCCTTTCCTAATCAAGGAGGATCCAGGTTGAATTTTTTTATAGACAGCAAGGACCTCCTTTAAAGAGCAACACTAACTTCTGTATGCTTCTGTGATAGATCAATTGTAGCAAATACCTCATTTGGAGAAAAGGTGAAAGTCACCCGAAGATAAGGATCCGAAGAAACAACAGGATCAACTTTCTGATTGATCATGATCTGTCCAGATTTCCAATCAAGAGAGCTTGATATATACTGAATAATGTAAAGACCTGGGGCTTCTCCTTCCTCTTCAAAATATATGGAATCTCCCAGCTTTGAAAACGATTCAATTCCTTTAGAGTCAGAAACAAAAAATAATATCATTTGAAAACGATTCAATTCCTTTAGAGTCAAACAAAAAATAATATCAATTGTCAGCACAGAAGCAGAGGAATGGTGGAATGATCTGCATCGGATTAAAAATCATTTGAAAAGAAATCCACACACATCGATTGACATTAATCGCATTGGTTTAAAAACATTTGAAAACTTCAAACACACTGAGTAGAGGATCAATCTGCATCGGATTAAAAATCATTTGAAATGAATCCTACATGCTTCGAGTGGAATAAACTGCATCAGTTTAAAAATATTTGAAAACTTCAGATGCAACAAAGGAAGGAATAATCCACATTGGATTAAAAATCATATGAAAAAAATCAAAATGCATTGTGCGGAGTAATTATTAGCAGTAAAAAATGATTAAAAATGGTGAATGTATTAGCAGGTAAGAAAGGATAAGGCGAGTAACAGATTCCACACCTGTTCCATAGCAGCACCAAAAAGTATCATACAATGTCCCCCATCCATGATAGCTTTTGCTTTTGGAACTTCCAGGATGTTGTGGAAGCATGTAAATCATCACTCCAGGCTCTGTTCCTCTTTGGATGCCTAGCACACCATTTGTCAGAGCACGCTCATAATAATCTGCATAAGCCATTTCTTTGGTCCATCTGAACAGGTGGCGGGAGACCTAAAGGTTCCAGTAAATGTGTAGAGTGTTTTAGCAGGAAAATTTATGTAGCATGAAAATGAAAAAAAGAAAAGAAAAGAAAAACTGCAAGGCAAGTGTCGAATGGATGCTAAGTACAGCCCTAACCAAGTTACTATCAAAATAAGTTTCGAGAAGATGGAAATAAATTCTATATATCAAGGTACACATGCTCAAAATTCTATATCAGTATGAAAGAGATAAAAATGGAGACATACCTTCAGCATATTGTAAGTTGTGCACGATTCCTCATTTTCTGTCTGTAATGTGCTAGCCAATCGCTTTGGATCTGACCTACTCATACATCAGGCAAAGGTGTCAAAATAACACAGGGTAAGAGACCAGTGTGGACAGAGCACGAGCAACCAGATAATCAGGTAAATGACAGGAAAGGAACTTAGCAACCATCCATATGAATGCATAGAAATTTTACTTCGAAAATCACAGCCAGAATTTAACTAAAAATGACAATCAGTACCAGAACTCGCTAACAGAAGTTCCTCCAGTTGCATAGCTGTGAGAAGAGTTGACTATATCCATGAAGAATGTCCCTATATCCTGGAAGACACAAATCTATTTTAGGCAGTTTTACGATCAGAGATCATTCATGCATGACTAATCTAACATGAACAGCTATGGCTCAATCAAAATGATACAAAACTTCATTGAAAATGCTGTTCAGACAGTCTATGATTAATATAAAGCAATTGATTAATATAAAGCAATTAACCTTATAAAGTGGATCTCCAGTGATTTCATATCTCATCTGTGCACCAATAACGATAGGGATGTGTGTATTGGCGTGGAAACCTGATATGTCTTCAGCCTACAGGGAAGAAAAGAAGCTTCTGTGAGAATATCAATCAATCAAGTATAGATTAATCTTATCCCTTTATTACTCTCTTCCAACAAAATTCTGACTTCCCTCCAACATCTTCTCCTTCAGTCCTAGATAAGGAACCATTCTACCCGCGTACCGACACCCAGGCATCCTAAATTTTCATCACCAATTGTGGACTTGATAAATTAACCTGTATTCCAAATTCATTCTATTTGCAATACAAAAATTTCAAAAGTTCATCTTATATCAGTCTTGCTTAAATGGAATGGTTATGTCAAAGATGATATCATTTCGTTTCAAAAAATTACAAAATCAGAAGTTCGTTTTCTCAAAGGGGATAGATTCTTATCATCAAAAGGAGGGGAAAACCCTGCAAAATCAGAAGACAAACACCGGCCAAAAGCTGATGAGCTGCAGTAGGTAGTCTATAAATTACCTGTACTGCAAGCAAACCAAGGAAGCAAGGCTTGTCAAACAGGTGAGCCAGCACCAAATGTTTTGGATCTCCCTGCAGCA